GTATTATCCAAGAAGGTAGACTGTTCACACTCGGTACAGCTCAGTTTGAATCTCTTGTCGAGCTTGTTGATCACTACACCAAGTTTCCACTCTACAGAAAAATTAAACTGAAATACCCTATCAATGATGAGGTGAACATTGACTGCTCTTATCTAACACTTAAAGTGTGACTAACCCCAAATATGATTTTTGGTATGAGTAATATTTGGATCATTCTAAGAAGAAATGTAATGTATCTTTATGGTAAAAATCCTCATCTTGGTCAACTTTTTCACTGCCAAAGTTTCCGGATATGAGGTCATTTGGTAATCTTTGATACAAAAAACAAAGCAAAACTAATTTGCAATTCACCTAATGACATCATGTCCGGAAACTTTGAGAGTGAAAAAGTTGATGAAGATGGAATTTTTTATTATAAAGATATATTACATTTCTTCTTCGAACGAATCAAATATTACACATACGAAAAATGCCGGCCCTAGGGCCGGTTGTTCAAAGCTGGATTAGCGCTAATCCTCTTTAAAATTTAACCTGCTGTCTTAGTTTATGTATTTCTGCACGTCTGTTTATTTCAAAACTTCAGAGAAGAAAACTCCTACTGATCCAGACAATATTTCTGAAGAAATATTTCCAAATTTTTAAACAAACTGTTATAGGACGTTTGCTTGCATTTTAGGTTAACCTTGGGTCAAGCCTATCGACTTTTGAACAACCGGCCCCATGTCAAACGAGAGTGAGAGTTTAGAAGCGAGAGTTTGCGTGAGAGTTTTCTCAACTCTAATGCCTCGGTCAAACGAGAGCAAGAGTTGCATGAGAGTTGCAGAAAACTCACATTAATGAGAGTTAATGAGAGTGCACGAGAATTGGTGGTCAGACACGTTGCAACTCTCATCAACTTTCATCCTCGTTTGACCGATGCTTAAATAAAAGGCATTGAGTACTGCATTTCACAACACCGAACTTTCATGTGTACTCATTCGTCTAAGGTATATTTATTTTCTGTTATTTCCTCTAGGTCCTTGAAGAAATTGGAGTGGTGAGCTGTTTGTTTACTTCTTGTTTGTTGTGCTCAAACTCAGAACTTTACAATTTTTTGTGCATCTCTTTGTCTTAGGATTTAGGCGAATACGACTCAGAGATCTACCAAGAATTGTATTTGAATCCGACGTTTGTTACAAAGGTAAGTATTGTAAATATCCATCATATTTTATGACGTGATAACGACAGAATGTAGACGGTAGAAAAAATTAAGAAGTTCAAATATGGATGAGGGGAAAGTAAAAAAATATGATTTCAATTCAAAATGGAGAACTGAATAGAAATTTCCTCTCTCGCGTAGCAGTTTCACATCATTCCCGAATTACCAATTAAATTTTTATCCATTTATTTTCTATTCAGAAAGTATGCAGGGCATTGTGGGACTACACCGCCACAGGCGAAGGAGAAATGTCCTTCTGTAAAGGAGCATTCATTACTAATGTCGTGAAAGGTGATCATGGCTGGTAAGTGTTGTATAAGTACTATTTAAAGAACGAGCATGCATGAGTGTATACTTCATCGGATACATAGAGGATATTAACGGCGGCGCGAAGATATGACTTTTATCTTCGAGTGGTGAAAACAATATTTTTCGAACGAGCGCAGCGAGTGAGTAAAATATTGTTTTTAAACAATATTTTATGAACGAGCGCAGCGAGTGAGTAAAATACTGTTTTTAACACGAGAAGATAAAAGTCATATCTTCAAGCCACCGTGTAATGTTCTGTTTATTATATAGTCCCAAGCAAAAAATTGTATAAATACTAAAAGTCACGTGATCGATATCTTCACTAGTGAAGATATGGAAAATATGTCACTGTGTATTTTTCAGTATCTCACTCTCTACTACATAATAAAGATATATATATACAGTATATATAAGTTGAAAATGTCCTCGAGTGGGTATTTCATAATTTCCAGACCGGAAATTATGAAATAGAAAGTGTTTTTAAAAACACAAACATCAATTATAAGAGAATGATTATATATATATATATATATATATATATATATATATATATATATATATATATATATATATATATATATATATATATATATATATATATATATCAATCTCGTACCCAGGGCCATCGTTGAGTGGCTCTGGCCACACGAGTTGAGTTAATTAGAAAATACGGTAAAAGTACAGTATTTTCCAATTAACTATTTCGTACCCATTCTCCGGGAATTCGCGCGCGCCATAGTATTTTCAAGAGGAGTGGAGAGCTAACTTTTTGCTGAAAATATCAATAAAATCGCAATTTTTCCCGTCAAAAGCATTAAAATATGTTCGGCGCAGTTAGTGTGAACAACAAGGATACTGAGTGCACGTGTGATTTCCGTTTAACAAGTAATTTGAGATGATTGAAACATCGGCTTGTACACATGTCAACACTCATCGAGTCATCGATCAAATATTTTGTCTCAAATGGCTTCTATTTCCTTCAAAATGTTCTGATTTCTTCTATAAGGTATAAGTACGTTTAATTATTTGTTATATAAAAGTAATTTAATAACTCTCAGCTTTATTAAATAGGCTATTCTTGAGCAAGAACGTTGCTTGTTGCACACTGCCTTTGTTGCCTTTAATAATTCTTTAATTTGTTACAATTTATATTGTTCATGTCATCATTATTTTGTTCCAAGGTTAATTTTTGAACCTTGGGCTCTGAATTTCCATCCTAATTGTAGTCTAGTTAGAATACCACAAAATATATTGTGTACCCCCTAAAAATGCAGCAGATTTTCAGAAATTCTATAGCATCCTGTGAGCTGATCATACCCAGTATTTATTTAATACTATTATACATGCTGCCATGTATTATTATGAATCTATCATACCTAGGGAATTTAAAACCATAATGCTATTCTTTATACAATGATAAAATAAAGATTTTTTTCTCAATAAGGAAGGTCTGTACTGCTGTAGCAATTAAGCAAAAGCCTGTAGCAGTATACCAGTGTGTTTAATTTTTACTTAACTTGACTATTTTATAGCTTTAGTTTTACATTTCTTTCAGATACACCTGTGACTGCAAATGTGATAATCTTTTTATTATGCCAATACCTCCAGAAGCAATGGAGAAATCAGTCTCAAGTTAAAATTATACAGTCCTGTATTCTGGATCAGTAAACAACTAATGGCATGTTGCATTATAATGAAGAGTCTAATATAATGAAATACTCAAGAATGGAATAGTATCGTTGGAGAAGTGCATTGCTCATTAATTATGTGATAAAAAGTAGTTACTGGTTAAAGAGTCAAGAATCACACCTGGTCTGACTAATAACAATGTCCTGTTTGAATAAGTGTAATATCATTTATACTTTCATGCTTGTATTGCTTGATAGGCTGATGTGTAGAATGACACATTATTGAAATCAATAAAGGTTTTTCAGAACTTGTAATTCATTTTATGGTACCAGGGGAACCATATGACATCATTAAGTTTTCCCAGGGGTCCCTATGACATCATAATTATTAAATGGGAGAAGAGGTGTTTTACAATATATTACACTTTATTGCATATTATCTGGCACTGACACAACTCTTTGTGCTTTGGAGGCTCCTTTTGAGCTAGGCTTTTGCCTGCATGGCTGCATCCCTACTTTTAGCAGTCCTGAAATTGTTAAAGATGTACATGTATGAAGTTATATGATAGTTCACTAATAAACCTAAAATTTGGTTTTAGTAGTCTTATTCTGAAAAAGTAAAGTTGTTTTTGTTGAGCAGTGGACTTCAAATACAATTGTTAATTGTTGCACACTCAGTTGTCCATTACAAGAATGAACATCTTATATTTATATATAGTAATCCCTGAAAAAAACAAGCAGAAATTCAACGTTTCAAGCGAAGGCCCTTCGTCAAGAGTTAGTAGCCAACGTTGAGTTTCTGCTTGTTTTTTTTTCAGGTAGTATTACTATATAACCACTCAGCATAGCAAGACTGTCGAATAGTTGACAATCATTTATTTACCAGTTTTATTGGCACCATTGTATAAATTGTGTAGATGGTTTCATATTATTACATACTGCACATAGTACATACTGCTTTTATTAAAGACCATGTAAAGTCTGTTCTGTGCATGCATTCTGCAATCCTACATTCCAATGGTAATTTTTCACACCTTCCAAACTTTCTTGAATTGAATCTCTAGTCTGTATTCATTTACAAACATAGCAAACCAGAAGAGTTAAAAATTCAATATAATGCATATCTAATATTTTACAACTATAGCACTGGGTTCAGACTTCAGAATCACAGAATGTAAACAAAGGGTTTGTTTACTTTACATACTTTACATGGCCTTTAAATTAATGAAACCTTTTTGGGCTGCTATAAACACCAATGTTTCTGACAGAGTTGTACAGGCAATACTGTAAACAGAAACAATATATTGTATCATCAAACAATTCTATCAAACGAATTGACAAGTTGCAAAAGAATCCAAATGCTGTTTAATTGTTATCTATCTAATCGGGTGAGCAAATCCCTTGTTACATGGGCCAGAGGGATTGCCGCTTTAACTAATTGTCAAGCGTGTTTGATTAAGCTCCGCCTACTTGTTTATATTTCAAAACAGGGTCAAAAACATCTCTTGAAAGGCGCGATCTCGAATGACTCAATTCGCTTTTAATAGGGTAAAACCATCAAACAACGTGTGTTTAAATTCTCAAATTTCAGTTTGGCAAGTATGAATATTCATAATCAGAATTTGTCTGGCAGGAAAACGTATAAAGCAAGGCAAGGGGTCTTAGGGTTTATTGAAGGGTCTATTCTATAGACTGTGACTTTCTGCGACAATATTTTGACATATATTAATAGTTTACAGTAATAAAAAATTACCAACTTAATACAGCTATTAAGCTGAATTACATGGTTAAGATTTACAAGGAGTGTTTCTAATTTATATAAACTAAACCTCTATGCCTCTATGTTTACAAAGCTTAAAATTTAAACTTAAAAATTGGAAACATGCAAATGTATACGAATGCTAAAACTATGAACTATGAATTAAAACGTTTAGAACTTGCGATTATGAATGTGTTC